GACCGTACAGTATTAACATAATGTATCCATGTTAATAGTTTCCGGAGATGGCCTCTATGAGCAATATGCAGATATAAAGAAACTGGATTGCAAGTTCAAGGGTAAATTCTGGAGAACCTTGGCTATCCTTGGAAACTTAGCAGAAGTTCTTTAGTGAAATAAGGCAGCAATGGCTTCCTCTACCATTTCTGATTTCCTGGGCAGTACCAATATGCATGAGACGGTTGGGTGTATTCTAGGGTTTACTCTCTGTTCCCACAAGTTAATGATGCAGCTCTGATGTGGTACATCACTTGCACGCAGTTAAGACTGGCACATGGGGCAGAGGAACTCAGCTGCAGCTCCCTGCACAGGGATTGCCAACATAAGGAAATACTTTTCAGTGGCAACTATGGATAGGGCTGTTCATTTGAAGCAACACACAAAGCCTGCTTCACCAACATTACTTTTTCTATGAAGTTATATTTCTTATGTTTATACATATGATGTACCCATGCACAAACTCAGCCTATTTAAAATCAATGGCTGAGTTTACATGTTTTCCTTTCCCCCGTGCATCCCGTTTTCCTTTTCCGTCACATCTATCAGATTGTAAACCTGTGGCCAAGGATTGACTTATTTTTTAATTTCTGCACAAGTGCTTAGCAAATTTTAGATGCTTTATAAATGGCACTAGTAAATAGTACTGATGATTCATGCATTTGCTGTGGTTATAAAAAACCCTGGCCACAATAGATTATTGTCTGGTAACAGTGTTGCTGGACTATTGACAAAACTAATTTGCCTTCTCTCATCACTTTCTGGGCTACTCATAGCTTTACTTCTCTTTAGCAGGGGGGAGGAGGGGACACACAATAATTTTCTATCTCATCTTTAAGTTCCTGCTCTTTATGTTCCCCAGTTTAGAACAGAGAGGGAGGAGAAAAAGTAATAAAAGAACACAATGTTCTCATTTAGAATGCACAACTTTAAAAAAAACCTGGGGGAAAGCTTCATGGAAAAATCATTTCTGTTAAAGCTTTCTAGCAAGGATACAGGTTCGTATGCTTTGGAGAAAATCTTTTGTCAAAGTGGTCTGCCTATCTCATTTATAACAACCTGTATCTGTCACAGGTCCTGCAACCCACAAAGTGACTCCAGCATTGTCCTGTAAATATTGTAAATAAATAAATGTTCCAGCAATGTTTGGTTCCTGCCTGAGTATTTGGCATATTGTAATCTTGTCAGAATGCTCTGCATCATAGACTTCTGTGTTCTTTTAGATGTGACTTGAATGCTGTAGTTGTTTGAGTGTTGGGCTAGAGTCTAGGAGGCCTGGGTTCAAATCCCGAATCGGGCACAAAGCTCACTGGGTGACCTTGGGCCAGTCACCTTCTCTCAGCCTTATCTACCTCACAGGATAAAATGGAGAGGGGGAGGATCTATGTTTGCAACCTCAAACTCCTTGCAGAAAAGGTGGGATACAAATGGAAAAATAAATAAATAAGATAAAATATATACGTTTTACTCTTGTTGGTTCTTCCTACTCCCTCATATTCTCCATCCAGTTCCTGAGATTTCTTATGTCTAACCTCTGTGATTATCTACGGCTCCTGCAAATTAAAGGGCACCTAGCCAATTACATGTTGCAAGAATTTCCCTTGCATTCCTGCAATCAAGTCCCCCACTCTCAGATCTGATTGATAAGCAACAGTACCTTCAAGTAATCGATTTATCAACCGTACCACCCTGCCTGTGTTTAGATTTAAGCTGCCACCACTTTATACATGCGACATCAATCTACATGGTATCAATGTAAACTGTTTGCGTAACCCAGTGCAGCACATTTTATTGACTGTGGGGGGAGAATAAAAGAGTACTTTATCAGCTGCTTCCCATCAATGTTATGAAACTGACACAGTGCATTTGGTATTACAGGGTCGCAATTATACTGGAGCACTAGATTAGACACAAACACACACACACACACACACACACACACACCAAAATACCAACAACCCCTAACTTGTTCAGCAGACCTTGTAATCTTCGAGTACATCATGAGTGCAATCCACCAAACAGAACTACTGCTCATCCTTCATTAATCCCAATGAGGCCTACACTGAAGAGCGGCTCTTTTTGGCAAAAACAAACATGCATGGGTATGGAACTGAATCAAATTTTAACCAGGGGTGTCTTATAGTTTCTAATTTGGATGAGAGGAGTTTGGATCTGATATCCCGCTTTATCACTACCCGAAGGAGTCTCAAAGCGGCTAACAATCTCCTTTCCCTTCCTCCCCCACAACAAACACTCTGTGAGGTGAGTGGGGCTGAGAGACTTCAGAGAAGTGTGACTAGCCCAATGTCACCCAGCAGCTGCATGTGGAGGAGCAGGGACGCGAACCCAGTTCACCAGATTACGAGTCCACCACTCTTAACCACTACACCAAAGTCCAAACAATTACAAAACAGGAAGATTTGAGCCTTGATCGCAACGCAGCATGGGGAATCCATTTGTGAAATAGTTCAATGAATGTGAAAGACGATTCCTCTGAATTAAACTGTGTTAGGACTGCACCATAAAATCAGAAAAAGTTGCATTCATAGGTAGCTAAATCTGAAAACAGAATGTTCGTACATCTCTCCAATGGGAGAAATGCGGACTGAGTCACACTTGCCGGGATCACCTTGGAAGCATGCAGAGGCCACCAGAATATCTGAACAGAGGCAGAATTTGTGAGAACTCCAAAAGGACTGCTGCAGCCATGCAAATCACAGTGCCCACATGCACATTCATCATGTGGTTGGCACAACAAGAAGGCATTGCTGAGTCACAAGTGCAGCAGCAACAAAAGCAGCAGCAGTTACTGCACCCATTCCTGAAGGGACACCCTCTAAGTGTGGACCAGGCCACCAGGTATATTGCCATAAAAGTGTGGCCTTTTCACAACAGCAAGACAGGAGAAAACTTCTAATCCTTTGCCTCATGATCGTTACCTTATCTCATCTGCAATGGCACACAACGTTACATTCACGTTCGCTGCCCAGCTGAAACCTCAACAAGCTACACACAGGTCTCTCTCAAATGTAAGTTCGCTTTTCAAAACTTGCCAGCACTCCTGGGCAGAACAAGGCAGATCAATTTTGAGTAGCAGCCAGGACTGCGCAGCTGAGCTTACAGAAATCAACACAGTGCCATTGGTGCATGTATACAGAGGACCAGTGATGATGAAGGTATAGCACTGGTTGTATTGTTTTCTTCGCTGCTAGCGTATTATAAAACATCAGGGAAAAAACCCCAGGGGTGCTGAAACACTATCCAAAACAAAGCAGTTAACGTTACATCGAGCTTGCAAATAACATTACATAGTAATATTATTAATGGTGATAATCAGATGTGGGAGCTGTGACTGTGATCCCTTTGTTATAAGTACAGCTTATGATAATTATGATCATTAATTCTGGTTGGGTGTGTATATGCTGTGGTCTGCTTTCCTTTTGTTGTTACCTGAACATCTTTGTCTATCTCATGCACTATGGGTATTACGTGTGCAGAGAGAGAGAGAGAGAGATGGATCGATGGATGGACAGACAGACAGACAGACATAGCATTTAGGCATACAAGCAACTTTGTATAGCAAAAGCAGAGTCGTGTCTCACAGATCTGTGGCTACAGTTTCTCAGAAATAAATTTCACCCCAATCAATCAGACTTAATTGCCTTAAACAGGATAGGTGGTAAAAGCCAGATTTTTATATTCCATCCCAGATGCCTCACTGCAGGGGGATGGTAGCTATTTAAACCCCAAGGGGTACATTCCTTTGTGGGCAACCTTACATGAGCAGCATGTCAATGGTGGGTGGGGCCAGAGGCAGCAAGTGGGTGGAGCAACTGTACTTACCTTTGTACAGTAGGGTACATCCCCCCATCTCTCCATCCTCTATCCGGGGAAGCAAGAGGCATTACCACAGTTCAGTGACACATTCCAGCAAGGCAAAGGCACTTGAGGACACGGAATAGAGCCAGTGAGGGGTGTGATCATTGGGATTTCTTAAAGAAAACCCATTTCTCTGCCTGAACCTTGCTTTTACAATTGTTCAGGGCATTTCTGACCTTGTTAAGAGTGCAAGGGGCGAATTTTGAGATTTGACATTTTTATCAACAGTCACCTTGAGCGCATAGGGGAGGCCACATATAAATCTTGTTAAATAAACCCATGGAATTAATGCAAATAAATGAAAACCAGCAGAAGGACAGCAGGAAACAAAAGACGGGGCATATCTTTTCCTCTCAGATATTTCCTGAAAATAATTTCATTCTTTGCAAAAGGCTTCCTCCGCACTCCCCCACTCCCCAAAATGATCTATATTACAAAGATTTATGGATTTCATATCTCAAAGTTCTTCCTCTGCAAAATGCTGTAAGCTATACTGGTTTGCCCTGAGCTGTAGTTTTTATCCACTCAGCACTATAGCTAATGAATCTTGATGTTCATAACACAGGTAAACAATTATAAAAATTACAATGCATCAATTACTAGAGCTATCTAGGGTGTATAAAGAACACATGCACTGACACACATTCAAGAATTTTAAGTCCCTTTCTACATGGGGGCTTCTGAATAAGAAAATATGACAGGCCAGAAAGAGTAAGTAAATCAGAACAATGGCCCCTCAACACAAAGCAAGTTTAAGAACAAACAGTATGGAACAACTTTCAAGGAAGGTTTGCATTGCATCCAACCAAACACCTCTTTAAATTCACATTGGACAACTAAGCAACACATTGTTTTCTCAAAATGCTTGTAATAAGCAGCAGCCTTAAAATATAAAGACTACAAATTGTCTCTGAGTGGAGGTGGAATATTGCTGATGCTCAGCAATTCAAATACGTATACGCATCTTTTGTTATTTTTGAAAGGTTTATCCATTATTACTGCCTTTTACCTCGAAAAAGGAAGGCAAAATGTCAACAAAGTGGTTTTAACTTGCAAGAAGTACAAGAGGCAAAGCTACTTACCAAACTCATCGCATATGCAGTCATTTTCAATAAGAGTTGGGTGATCAAAGGTATCTCGACAGTAGAGGATTTGTGGGTTTTTGCTGATTACGGCAATGCCCCCAAGGGCTAATACAAACTGGTCTGTTAGGATGGAGGACGGTTTGCCCTGTATGCGCTTCAGCATGGAACGATAGCGACAGTATTGTGGGTAGCTGAGGATCAGCACATTTGAATCTTCGTCATCCTCACCTGCAAGAAAAAATATTGAAACCACTGTTACTTATTGCCCCAGCTGTCATGTTACCTTTAACATAAAACAGGTATCTGGAGGCAAGTCAGATTCTCATTCCAAACCCTTTGCATTGATTTTGGGATGTAGGAGACAAAACAGATGTAGGATGTGGAGCAATGCTACCTCCTGGTATTCAATCCCCTCCCTCTGCCTCCGATTTGCAACCTATCAGCCTCCTGCAATAATTTAAATTATATCAGATGCATCTACAGAGGTTTCATTGCACATCAACTTGCATGGACCAAACATGTTAAACAGTCTACTATCACAAGTAGGGCACGTATGAAATAAGAACACATGTCCTGAAATAACTTTTTTCTTCTTCTTTTTTTTAAAGGATCAGGCTGTTAATCATGGGCCAAAGCAGACTTTAGCATTTTTCAAAAGCCACATATTTCTCCCATCAGAAACAGCGCAGCCAGGTCTGGAGGGTGCAAAGTATCAGGGAGTGTAGGAATCATACAACATAGAATGCAGTCTCTAATGCAAAATCCAATATATTGCACAAAACCCAGAGAAAGTGGTTCCTCGTTTTATAACAACACAGGTTTCTAGTCCATGTGAGCAGATCTTTAAGTAAAAATATGAAATTTAGCTTTTATTTTTTTACAGTTATATCCTGCCTTTCCTCCAAGGAGCCCAAGGCAGTGTCCACTCTCTGTTTTATCCTCACAACAATTCTGTGAGGTAGGTTAGGCTGAGAGACAGCAAGAGGCCCTGGGTCACCCAGTGAGCTTCATGGCTAAGTGTGGACTGGAACCCTGGCCTCTCAGGTTCATGTCTGACACTTTAACCGCTACTCTACACTGGCAGGTGCATGGTCTTGGAATTCCACTTGGGAACTCTTGGTGTGAGACCACGCCCCTGTCCCTGATTGGCAGGCATGTGAGCATGTGTTCCCTTAGTGTCTGGATTTCAGTTTCTCATCTTTCCAATCTTAAATTCAGTCCCCCATGTTCCTGGAGCAATTTGCACTATATTAATGAAAATTCCCCAGCAGTTTAGTGCGAACTTCTCCCACGATACGCATTCTTATGCAGGGTTAACTAGCACACACATTTCTGCAAGCTATTTTCAACCAATATAAAGCATTTTTGTATGTTATTTTCACCAATGTATGCATTTTATAAACACTGTCTTCTGATACATGCATTTAGTTCAGAGTGGTTTGAGAACTGCATTGCAAAATTCAGGGAAGTGTGCATTTTGAAAGATAATTGTGTTTCGCTTCACATATTGGTTCGAGAAGTGCAAATTAGGTAGTATCTCACTAAAATGCAGATAAAACTGAATTCTTCCCCCAGAACTAGGCCGTAGTTTTGTTCTGCACTTGACACAGGTGGTGTCATTACAGTATGATTCTCACATATTTATAAGATTCGCATGTATTCAGATTACTACGACCTTTCGTCTTAAACAATAAAACAAATCTGACTGATTATGAGATCACTATCCATTATCATACCAAGATCAATGCCAAGCAGAAAGTGACAGGCCCATTGTACTTCTGCAAAAATTCCTCGTCTGAAACCGGAACCCTCTGATATGAGTAATCTCTAATCAGCCCTAAAAAAAAATTCTCAATCTGTGAACAGAAATCATGAGAGTTGGGGGGAAATGACAAGTTTTCTTATTCTCCTTTCTTATTCTTTAACACTTTTGCCAAAATGTTTTCAAACTTTCGGGCTTGAAATAAATACAATTTTTTGAAATACAAGCTGGGAATCACAGACGTCTAACAAAAGTCTATATAACATTAAAATCCCTAGGGGGCTGTGTCAAAGTCCCATAGAGCCATCCCAGCAACAAAAACAGGGCTTCAAGCTATAAGCAATTCACTGGTGTGATCTGACACAGGGGAACAAAAACCTGTATGCCGTTCAAATCTCCAATGCCATACCTGAGTCGCATACATAAACCAACCTGGTGCACACATATTACAACTTGCAAGAATGCCACTTTTAGACCTATTCTCTGCAAAGGAATCACTTTTCTAAGTACTGTGCCTTTTATCCTCCCACAGAGCGCACAGAGGAAACCAAAACAATTCCATGATCTGCAAGTTCAGGTCATATATTTTGACAGAGTGCCTGAAAGGCAGGCACAGTGAAATCTGTGAAATTTGTTGTGGGGAAGCAAAATCTGGTGATCGCAATTTAATCTAGTGTTTACTTGCTTGAGCCTACAAGGCTACAGAACTGTAGTCATAGCACTTTCTCTCTTACTCCCAGCCCCCACCAAACATGACAACTCTAGACAGTCCCTGCAATCAAATTTGTTCTCTTAAGCGAAGCGGCTGGTATACATTTTCATTCTGCCTTTTGTCCAAGCGAGTTCAAATTGAGGAGTGGTCTCCTCAAAAAACAACCCTACCACAAGTTTAACTTAATTCAGAGAGGAGTAAACTGTCCAAGGCTACCCAATGAGCTCCAGAGTTGAGCAGGGAAACCAAGCTTGGGCACCCAGCAGCATGCAAGCCCACACTGCTCGTATCTCAATGGCAAAGCATGTGCTTTGAAGTAGAAGATCCCACATCCTATTCCTGGAACCTCTAATTAAAATTATCTTGTGTAGCAGGACTAGGAAAGACTACAGCAGGGGTCAGCAACCTTTTTCAGCAGGGGGACAGACCACCGTCCCTCAGACCTTGTGGGGGGCCAGACTATATTTTTTGGGGGGGAAATGAACGAATTCCTATGCCCCACAAATAACCCAGAGATGCATTTTAAATAAAAGCACATATTCTACTCATGTAAAAACACCAGGCAGGCCCCACAAATAACCCAGAGGTGCATTTTAAATAAAAGGACACATTCTACTCATGTAAAAACATGCTGATTCCTGGACCATCCATGGGCTGGATTTAGAAGGCGACTGGGCCGGATCCGGTCCCTGGGCCTTAGTTTGCCTACCCCTGGACTACAGTTTCAAACTTTGGAGAACCACTGCCAGCCAGAAACCTAGGCTAAATGCACCAAGCGTTAGATGACTAGCGCAAGGCTGCTCCTCAGATCATTTAAGCTTTAGTGTGGGCTGCTAGAGGCACAGATTACAGGCCTGGTTAGTACAACACAGTGTGCTCATACAGGTACTGCTATCTTCAGCCTGGAGATGAGACACGGCACTTTCCTTATGCGCCAGGATGTGGTCAGTTATGTGTTATTTGTCAAGGTACATATAAATGTCTCATGTGAACCTTTGCTACAAACCACGAGTTTCCAGTAAAGCACATGGTAAAGTGACTGTATAAAGTGCTCCTCGCTATTTTTGTAGCATTTTAATGACATTTTAAAGCAACACAGTCACTAAAATTAAATTTGTTTGCAAGGCTGATCGATGTTGCTTTTTGTTGTTGTTACTTTTAATACGATTGATTCAGAGGTACAGAAACAAAATGGCGGGGGAGGGGGAGGCCCATCGCTGAATGCCAAGCCTAACCAGGCAATAACTGTGTCCAAATAAGTGCTTTGTAAGGTATTTTCCCTCCTTCCTTTATTCACAAAAGGTTCAACAGATCATTCTAAGGAAGGACAAAGAAAGGGGTAAACTGCACCATTTGTTTAAGGAAAGCAAATAAAAGGTTCTTGGAACAAAGATTTTCTTTCAGCCACACCTCTGTGAGAGAAGAAATCAAAGACCTATTTCTGCCAAATGTGTGTGTGTGTGTGTGTGTGTGTGTGTGTGTGTGAGTGAGAGAATAATACACAATCCAGGCGCAGGGAGAAGGACATTTGGAATCTTTCAACATATTCCAAATGTCACCTAACTGCAGTGATATATTATTAGTGCACTCTGTCAAGATGAAACAATTGGAAATAATTTGCTGCTGGTATAAGCTAGAATTTAAATCATGATTATCACTTTCTTGTTAAAGTGCATGACTGAAAAATTAAGTCCTTGCTGAAGAGGCATGTCCAATATCGTGTCAGCTTCTACCACGCCACCTGCAGACGGTAGAACACAAGACACACACCTAGAAGGAAATGCCTCCAGGATTTAAGGCTGAAATGTCTCCTAATCTTGTGTTTACATCGTAACTGTTCGTTTTAATAACCTCTTTCAGGGTCAGTCTTTCATTCATTCATTCGTACGTATATACAGTTACCAATTTATCTCAACTTCAGAACCGATTTCTAGACAACAAGCAAAACTGCAAAGCAAGGTCCTGGCCTCTCATTCTTAACTGAGGCTACGGAGGCACTGATCAATTTATACAGTTTTCATTCAGAGGGGAGAGGAGTTACTGCATTGAAGATTCGTGTTGAATTTCATGTTCACCGTCAAGGGAGAGAGCACAGAAAAGTCTCACCAATAAGGCAGACTTTTTCAAATCAATATCATCTTTTTTTTAAAAAGGGTTAGGGTCCAGAAAGAGCTAAACTGCAGGCATATCCAGGAAGGATGATTTACTTTCTTCACTCCTTGGGATAGCAGACCCCTGTGCCATATCATAAACTACTTTTGAAAGTATCCTCAGTTTCCAAAGCAGCCTGCCATTTGGCATGAGGAGATATGGCATGCTGGAGATATAATAATAATAAGAAAGTGTATTTTAATAGTAGTAGTTTTTTAAAATTTTGATTTCAGCTGTAGAGACCATGCAAAGGTGAGTCTACATCTCTTGAGCCAAATATTTACTGCCTGAATTACAGGAGAAAAAGTAGGAGAGGCCTCTTCTACAAGCTCCACCACCAAATAAAAGTTCGGGTCTGACCCAAGGAAAGAGGCTGCATACACCCCCCCCCAAAAAAATCCTGCTACAATTTGAGCTTTACATTCATTTCAAAGTGGGAAGATCTCTATATTTAAGTGCCTAGTGCAAATCAGTCCAACATGGGACTAGGCCAGTGCCATTGCTTGGATTTCCTTTTCTCCTTCTGCAGCTCAGCAGGAACAGCACACAAGGAAGAGAATAAAACCTGAAACAACTAAGTATCACTTAGTCTTGTTCACCTCA